GCTGTGATGTCCTTCTCCAACAGTCTGATGCGGAGATCACTCTTGGTCAGTCCCAGGCCTATGTCCACATGATTGTCAAGGCTGCCCAATCTTGGACACCCAGTCTAGGATATGAAATTTTAAAAATATATGTAACACAATCACTATGCACCCATGTCTGAGACTAGGCAAAGCCTTTGCCAATGATTTCAAGTTAGCCTAGACCTATCATACCATTGCTAGGCTAGACCAACCTAGCCCCCATAATTTCTTGCAATGAGAGATGTCAAAGTAGGTCTTTCTTAGGCCACCCTTAGCAATAATGAGAGATTATAATTCACAATTATGCCATGTAGGTTTACAAGATGCCTAACTTTAGATTATCTCTCCTGCAAAAGGAAATTTTAAAGGAAGAGTTTCTAGCATTGGCTAATTGACAAAAAGTTTGAGTTAAAAGTTTCCATTTCTGAAACTTGCATGTTTGAACTAAAATGGAGGGGGGGGACTTGGAGACTAATTGTATCCTATCACATAAAACTAGCATAATATTCCATTTGTCAAGCATTAGTTATAAGTCAATATTGGTGAGTAACAAATACTTCATGAATCAAACCTATATCTTTAGGCTCCTCAGTTGCATAGAGAAAACTTTTTTTTTCCCAACACAAGTCTTTTGTGTTAGAAAAAAAAATAAGCAGAAATTACTTGCAATCACCTGAGGGATGCATGAAAGCTAAATGTAGTTGCATGCCTTGCAGATGGCACTCCCATCCAGGAAAGTAATAGTGGATGTGGTTAAAAACATGAACAATTGTCAACTTACATACTTCAAGTTCATATTCAGCCTTGAAAGGGCATTTTTTATAGGCAGTGTCTTTTGGTCAAGCTGGCTTGGCTCTAACTTGTGGCCAAGCTGGCTTTCTGAGTGAAAAAGGACACCTAAGGCTGGGCCTAAAAATCATAAATGCTGCTGCATATTTCAGAGTGATGGCTTTCATGTTAAAAGTGCCATGTATATTGTCTTCAGCAATTCCAACCCAAAACTCCCTATTAAGATGTAAGATTTCACAAAAGTCATATTGTCAGGCTAGAGGGCTCACTCAAAGCCCAAGCAGTGTGCATGGAATTGAGCCCTTAATGAGTGAGTTCAAAAGTTGATTTCAAAGCAGGTGTCCCCAGGCAAAGAAATAATTACCTCACTTACCAATATGAGACAAATTAAATTAGTTGAAGTGCATGTCATCTATATCCTATCCTGACATTATGTAAGAAGTGACCATGATATGACATCAATAATGAAGAGCTGTCTAAGCTGAAAGGATGAAAAATATAGCTCAAGATCTTTCCTCAAGGCAAAGGAAGCACATTCCTCTACATTGAAAGATGTGGCTGTGTTCAGTGGGCTGCTGGAAACTTTATCATGTTAGGAGTGAAGTTAGAGGTCACAATTCCCAAATTGGCTGATAGACACTGCCTTTTTGGCATCCTACAAGGGGGTCTGAAGATATTAAGCCTACATTAGGGAATAAATGGTTATACTTTCAAAGGGCAGACTGTAGACTGATGGAGAAAAGGAGTAAAGAAAAGGGAGGGAAACACGGTGGAAATAATGAATTACAAGGGTTTTTTATCTGTATAGTGAGTTAGAAAGAGAGATAGTAGGCCTTTCATTTGGGTCGTTAGCATCCCGTAGCTATATTGTGGCTACTTGTGCAAGGCTTCGATCGGACTATTGGTCTAGTGGTTCTCTTGATGAGTACCCAACCTTGATGCCATGTGAGAGAACATCGCCAACAAGATGTGTGACCCGATCCAAAGCCCCGTAAAGATCCCACGGTTCCCGGTTGCCTTGCAAGAGGAGAATCTTGGTGCAGGTCGCCTGCAGACGTTGCAGCAGCTCCATTACTCTCCTCGCACATTGTTGACTCGATCTGATGCACTGGATTCACATCCTGAGTGATACATGAAACCTTAGGAAGATACCTTATACACCCCAAAACAACGGAGTCGTTGTGAGGGGGCAGCCATGTTGTGTCGCGCATGATCCCCATGCGGATATCTGCACTAAAGATGTTCCGAGAGCAGAAGTGTCTGAGTCAGGTGAAAACACTGTAGTAGCACATTGCTGACCGCCGAGGTTGGAGATATGCATTTAAACCATCCGTTGAAGATGTAGCATGTAACTTCGTGACTAATGCTGTAAGTGCGTGGTTGAAGAGGCTGGACATGCAGCGAATCCACAGTATTATTGCAAAGGGAAGTTTCTTGAAATTGTGTTTTCACAAGCACCGCGTGAAGGACGGTACATGTATTACTCATGGAAGCGTTTTATTGGAAGGATGGTTCTGATGTATGCACATTATCACCATATCTGCAGAGATATGCATAGATCATAATTTACTAGAGAGGTGGCGCAAGCGTACACACATCACTGCCATCTCCCCATAGACTTTTGGAAGAAGAAAAAAATAGGACTCGCATAAGTCGTGGACTTGGCTGTCATTTTTCACTTTTTTATTTATTCCAATGGAACATCCTCATCTGTGCATACAAAACACCATAAGATCAATTTATGTTTTTATTTGCAACCAATACTTATATATTCACCTGAGGGGTCCGCATTATTCAATAACCGAGGTATAAAAATTGTGCTTAAGTCAGGGAAAATAGACTTCAAGGTGCTTCAGGTTCTACGGGTTCTGCGGGTTCCGCGGGTTCTGCTGGTTCCGATCCTTTCCCACCTGACTTTCCACGACCGAAGGATTTGACTTCTCCTACGTAGCCGGAGTCATAACCGTTACCGTAAACGGGAGTACCGCCATATCCTTGACCGTGAGAAGAGCCATAGGAGGAAGAATGTTCGTAAGATCCATATCCAGGAGAGGCATGTCCGCCCTCTCCGCCTTCTCCACCCTTTCCGCCGTCTCCTCCCTCC